TCTTGAGTGAGTTTTGGCGCTTGTATCTTTCAAGAAATTGGCCCATTTCATCTACTTCAACAAATTTATGGGCATATGTAAGGTAGTTTGACAACAATGGATTCAGATGTACCAACAATCATTTGAAGATGGCACAGAACTGGGCAGTGTTGCATTCTGTTATACATAAGGTCACCAGGCATTGGAGCTGACTCAATGGCAACTAACAACTTTTCCTTTATTACCTTTTTAATGTATATTAGATCAGTAGTGATACCTTCTTTTCATTTCTATTATTGATAATTTGTGTCTTCTCTCATTTTTATTGATCAGGGTGACTAGAACTTCTCAGTTTTAATGACCTCTTCAAAGAACTAGTTTTTGATTTTCTACATTGTTTGTCTGTTTTTGACCTCATTCATTTTTACTCTATTTTCTTTTTTTCCCCTTTCCCTTCACCCAAGTTAATATTCATCTATCCTCTTGTTAGTGTTTACCCTTTGTTCCCCTCCTATATCTATCGATCTATCTATATCTATCTATCTATTTATCTATCTATCTATAGGGAACTCTGGTAGCATAGTGCCTAAGGCACTTGACTGCTAACCAGAAGGCTGGCGGTTCAAACCTACCAGCCACTCCTCGGAAGGAAGATGGGGCAATCTACTTCCATAGTGATACTGCCTCAGAAACCCAAGGAGGGGTCGCTATGAGTCAGGTCCAACTCGACGGCACATAACAACAACAACAACAATATATATATGTATGTATTTTGTGTGTGTGAAACCCTTTTTTTTTACTTTTTACAATAGTGGTCTTCTCATATAATACTGTCTTTTTGTGAGTGACTAATTTCACTTGGCATAATGGTCTCTAAATTCATCCATATTATCTTTTGCCGATTCATTATTGTTCTTAACATTGCATAGTGTTCCATTGTGTTTATGTACCAGAGTTTGTTGATCCATCCATCCATCCATGATGGGCATTTAAGTTATTTCATCATTTGCTGTTTTGAATATTGCTGCAGTGAACAAGGGTGTGCATATATCTGTTTGTTATGGCTCTTAGTTCTCTAGGTTTATATACCTAGTAGTGGGATTGCTAGATCATATGGTATTTCTATTTCCAGCTCTTTAAGGAAGCACTGTACCATTTCCCATTTGCACCATTTTATAGTCCGAAAAGTAGTGTATGAGGGTTATAGTCTCTTCACACCCTTGTTAGCATTTGTTGTCTGTCTTGTTAAACTATTCTATTACTACTGGGCTGCTCTATTCTTTATTTCATTCTTTCTGCTTGCGTTTGTTTTCATTTTCTCATTTTTGTGTGATTTCTTACTGGAGAAACTTAAATTACTGATTTCAGTACTTCTTTTTTTCTTAAATACTATATATTTTTTTATCAAGGATTATATTTAAAATGTGGAGAATTCAAATGTTTTTATCAGGAAAGCTTTCTAACAGGCACATAAAAGAAATTTTTTGCTGACTCATGGAGTTTATTTGAAAAAGTAGGAGAGTATAACAATCTGGCATGGAAAGGACTAGTTATGAGTTCTTGTTTATAAATGAAATTGTGATGAAGGGAATTAAAAGTAACCTCTAAGACATATTATTTTTCACTTAACAAATATATGCTTGTAATTTTTTAAACAATAATACTAAGGATGATGATTAAAATAGAAAAGAATTGTGTGCCCACCGTGTACACACTCACATGCCTTTTTTTAAAAGACATCATCATGCTGTAACCTGTGTCTAATAAACATTACCTGCAGAATCTTGTTATTTCACTTGTAGATGATATGTTGTTGCTGTTAGATACCCTTGAATTGGTTTTGACTGACAGTGACCACAGAATGAAACACTGCCTGGTTCTGCACCATCCTCACAGTCATTGCTCTATTTGACCCCTTGTTGCAGCCACTGTGTCAGTCCATCTTCTTGAGGGTCTTCCCCTTTTTTTGCTGACTATCAACTTTACCAAATATGATGCCCTTCTCTAGGGTCTGGTCTCTCCTGGTAACATGACCAAAGTATGAGAGATGAGGTCTGGCCATTGTTGCTTCTAAGTAACAGTCTGGCTGTACTACTTCCAAGACAGTTTTATTCGTTCTTCTGGCAATCTACAATGTATTCAGTATTCTTAACAAACACCATAATTAAAAGGCATCAGTTCTTCTGCAGTCTTAACCTACTCATTGTTCAGCTTTCACATGCATTTGAGAAGATTGAAAATACCCTGGCTTTGGTCAGCTGCCTTAGTCTTCAAAGTGATGTCATTGCTCCTTAACATGTTAAAGAGATCTTTTGCAGCAGATTTGCCCAATGTACTATGTCCTTTGATTTCTTCATTGCTGCTTCCATGAGCGTTGTTTGTGGATCCAAGTAAAATGAAGTCCTTGACAACGTCAATATTTTCTCCATTTATCATGATGTTGTTTATTGGTCCAGTTGTGAGGATTTTTGTTTTCTTTATGTTGAGGTGTAATCCATACTGAAGGCTGTAGTCTTTGATCTTCCTCAAGTGCTTTAAATCCTTTTCCCTTTCAGCATGCAAGGTTTTGTCATCTGCACATCCCAGGTTGTTGATGAGTCCTTTGTCTTAGGCTGGATTCTCTAGAGAAGCAAAACCTTTGAAGCATGTATATAGAGAGAGAGAGGGGGGGAGGGAGTGAGAGAGAGAGGGGAAAGGAGTGAGAGAGAAAAGGGGGAGAGAGGAGAGAGAAAAAAGAGAAATTTATCTCAAGGAAATGGCACATGACATGCAGTTGTTGGGCCTAGCAGCCCAAAGTCTTCAGATCAGACATCAAGCTGAAGACTTCTCCTGACTCACGCAGCTGCAGGGGCTGAGGAACTCAAGATTGGTGGGCAGTACAGCAGGCTGCTGGCTTCAGAGGCTGATGAATCTAAGATCAGCAGGTAAAATGGCAGTGGAATGCCTTTGCGTAGTCAGTAAAGTACAGGTAAACATATTTCTGGCATTCTTTGTTTTCAGCCAAGATCCATCAGACATCAGCAGTGATATCCCTTATCCTCTTCTGAATTTGGCTTGAATTTCTGGCAGTATCCTGTAGATGTACTGTTGCAGATGTTTTTGATTTTTTTTTTCCTCAGCAAAATCTTACTTGCATGTGGTATTAATGATATCGTTGGATAATTTCTACATTCTTACGGATCACCTTTCTTTGGAATTGGCATAAATGTGGATCTTTTCCAGTCAGCTGGCCAGATAGCTGTCTTCCTAATTTCTTGACATGAACAAGTGAGTGCTTCCAACATTGCATCTGTTTGTTGAAACATCTCAACAGGTATTCCGTAAATTCCTGGAGCCTTGTTTTCTACCAATTCCTTCAGTGCAGCTTTGACTTCTTCCTTTAGTACCTTTGGTTCTTGATCATATGCTACCCTCTGAAATGTTTAAATGTCGATCAATCCTTTTTGGTATAGTAACTCTCTATATTCCTTCCATCTCCTTTTGATGTTTCACAGGGAGCAGATTTTTATTGACTGTCAGTCAATATTTTGCCCATAGAATCCTTCAATATTGCAACTTGAGGCTTGAATTTTTTTTAGTTCTTTCAGCTTGAGAAATGCCAAATATGTTCTTCCATTTTGATTTTCTATTTCCAGTTCTTTGTATATTTCATCATCATACTTTATTTTGTGTTCTCAAGCCATCTTTTGAAATCTTGTTTAGCTTTTTTAGTTCATCATTTCTTCCATTCACTTTAATTACTTATTCTTCATCTGTATAGTCACCATTTATGTTGTTGAAAAGAGATATTTGCAACGTATAAATCATTGGTCTTGCAAAATTCTCATGTGGTTTCTGGCATCATTGCTATCATTGGGGCCATATTTTCCAGTGACTGATGTTTCTTCTTTGTTTCCTGCTTTTACATTCCAATCACCATTAATTATCAGTGTATCTTGATTACATGTTTGGTCAATTTTAGACTGCAGTAGTTGGTAAAAATCTTCAATTTCTTCATCTTTGGCCTTAGTGGTTGCTGTGTAAATTTAAATAATACTCATATTAACTGGTCTTCCTTATAGGCATATGCATGTTATTCTATCACTGACAGACTGTACTGCAGGGTAGATCTGGAAATGTTCTTTTTGATGGTGAATATGATGCCGTTCTTTTTCAATTTGTCCTTCCAGGAATAGTAGACCATATGATTTTCTAATTCAAAATGGCCAATACCAGTCCATTTCAGCTCAGTGATGGCTAGAATATCGATCTTTAGGTCTTCCATTTTAATTTTTTAAATTAATTTTTTCCTAGTTAAAATTTTCTTAGATTCATACTTTGTACATTCTAGATCTGATTATTCATGAATGTTTGCACCTGATTTTTTTCTCATTTTGAGTTATGCCACATTAGCAAATGAAGGGCCTGAAAGCTTTACCCCATCCACATCATTAAGATCAACTCTACTTGGAGGAGACAGCTCTTCCACAGTTGTATTTTGATTGCCTTCCAATCTGAGGGGCGCATCTTCCAGCACTGTATCACTGTTTCACTTAAGAGTATCAGTGTTTCACTGTTACTCAAATGGTTTTCAGTGGCAATTTTTTTTTTCAGAAGTTGACTCTATCAGAAACCAAACTCACTGCCGTCAAGTCGGATCCAACTCATAGCGACCCCTCCGTGGGTTTCCAAGGTGGTATCACTACAGAAATAGATTGCACAATCTCCCTTCCGAAGAGTGGCTGATAGGTTTGAACTGCCAGCTTTCTCGTTAGCAGTCAGATGCCTTAGGCAATACACTACCAGAGCTCCTCAGAATCCTTATTCTTAGTCTGTCTTAGTCTGGAAGCTCTACTGAAACCGGTCCAACATGGGTGACCCTATTGGTATTTGAAATACTGGTGACATAGTTTCCAGCATACTCAAATCACCACAGTACAACAAACTGACAGGTAGTCATGTGGATGATATAGTTACCCATATTGGGGAAATCATAGCTACTTTACTCATTCTTATCTTTCCTTTCCTTTTTTCCTGCAGAAATGTTGAGTCGATTATCAGGATTAGCAAACGTTGTTTTGCATGAATTATCAGGAGATGACACTGATCAGAATACAGGGCCTCCCTTAGACCATGTGAGTAACTCTATTCTGATTTAAATTGACGAGACACGTGTACTGTGTAATTTTGAGTAAAAGACCTTTACAAGGGTGTCTGTAGCCTTCTTTTTGGTAGGTGGAAAAGAGTATTAAGAACAATATTGAGATTCATAAATGATCCTTCTGTAAGTTTCTATCATAAGGGCCACAGTGATGGGAACAAGTCCTGGATGAGATTTGAAAAGGAGTCAGAATTGACTCAATGGCAGTGGGTTTTGTTTTGTTTTTCTAGTTTGTCTCTCTGGGACTGGTTTAGTATTAGCTTGTTTTAATTCCATCTCCTCCTCCAGTATATATTCCTGTTCCATTTAAATAGCAAGTGGGGAAAGTTTTTGGATTTGAAAATATTTGCTTTTATAAATTCATCTACCACTTCTCTAGTAGTTGAAGTATTTTATTTTGGGGGGCCAGATAATGAATCAAAACAAGTTTTTAGTTTTCTGGAAAGATAAGCATTATTGTTTAGTGGTAAGAGCATTTTATTCACCTATTCTCTTGATTTAAATTTTGGGCTCTTCCATTTAGTGGTATGTCATCTTTATTTTCTCTTTGGTAAAATTAGCATAATGATACCTTAAATGACATTATTAGCAAAATTTGAAAAATTTTTATTTGTAAAGTGTTTAACTTTTACTAAATAGTAAATACGTGGTAACGGATTTGATATTAATAATTATTGGATCAGAGTTGGAAAGATTTCTTAAACTTAAAAGGATATAACCTGGGCAAAAGGGAAGATAAAGTTGGAATGAAGAAACTCCTGTATGAAAACTACCTTTTCCCTGATGCATTGGAAACTTTTGTCTGAATACTAGGACATACCCCAGGAATCTGACGTGGAATGTACCAATGGAACACAAGAGGATGTTCTCGAGCGTCTGGCTTATACAGAACAGTTGGTGGTGGAGCTGAAGGATATTATTAGGCAAAAAGATACTGAGCTACAACAGAAGGATGAGATTCTACAGGTACTATTGTTTTTGTATTTTCTTGCCAAGCATTTGATAAAAGACAGATAAACTTAGATTTTTGTCTTTAATAGATTATCAGAGAATCTAATTCTTCTTTTCCTAATACTGTAAGATGATGCCTACTGCAGATAACTTTTGTTATATGCTAGATAAGTAGTGAAAAAACAGTTATATATTTAACAATCCTTGTTCCCCTCAGGAAGAAAGAAAAGCTGCTGATAACAAAATTAAGAAAATAAAGCTTCATGCTAAGGCCAAATTAACTTCTTTGACTAAACAATTAGAAGAAATGAAGATGCAAAGAGAGACTGTTCTGCCTACAGAACTTCACTCAGAAGAGCAACTCTCCAAGGTATGGTGGCTGTAAAGGGTACATACTTTCTGAGTTAAAAATCTTCCCAAAATAACGCATTTTAACTAATCACAAACATTCATAAAGCCAAAGTAATGAAGCAGTAAATGCTGGCCTTTCTTACCGAGTAATCCAGCAACCTGGCTGGATTACAGGCCACACACAGAAAGAATAAAAGGCTCATAGGAAACATGGATGCAAAATGCTAGTTGTAACCTAGACTTTCAGAGAATTCAATGAAACAACCAGGAAGAAATAAGTACTGAAAGGAGGCATTTAGAAAGGAGAAACACTTACTTTTTGGAGGAGTTTCACTGTTGGTTAGAAGATTAAACTAGATTTCTCCAAGGTTTCTCCTAGCTCTCAAGTTCTTTAATTCAATGACTTAATAAATGAAATTCTGTGTCCTTATACAGCCACATAATGGTGGATTAAAGTTTCATGTATTGTGGGCTGAATTTACTCTATTAGATTACCTTGGGCTCCCTAAAAGAAGGCTATGTTTACAGCTGCCACAAACAAAAGACCTTAAGGTTGAGGATGAAGAGAAGAGTGAGCAAAGTGTTGCCCTTTGAAACATAGAACATTGTCCCAATATTTATTTTTATTATTTTCTTCTGTGGTTAAACCCCAAATATTCATATTCAGCTAATCATTTAGAAAAAAGAAACTTCAGTTTTGTGGAGAGTTTGATAAGTATTATATGGAGGTAAGCATATAACATGTATATACTTATAGGTATAAAGTTAGACTAAACACTTTATAGGAAATCGTTTTATTTTCTTAATTTTACTTTACTCCCCCCTTTTTAAAAAAATTTTTTTTTGTGATTTGGGTGAAAGTTTACAGAGCAAATTCATTTTCCATCCAGCAGTTCATACACATTTTGTTTCATGACATTGACTGCAATTCCCCACAATGTAACAGCTCTGTTCCCACTTCCTCCCTGTAGTTACCTCTGCCCTGTGTCCTTCCCTCTCATGCATTTTCCCCACCCCCAACTGTCTCCCTGTGCAAACACTGCTCTTCTGTTCTCCCACAATTGATTGCTCTAAGTAGTGTATCTACCTGATGTAAATATTCACCCCATATGCATGTCTGTTGTTTGACTAGAAGCCACAGGTCTAGTTTGCCAGTTCACCCATTGGTATTTTTTCCCAGTTTTCTTGGTTCTGGGGAAACAAGGTGGTAATCAGTTGTCTGGGTACAACTTTAGGGTATTCCCCAGAACCCTGGTTAGTTTTTCATTTCTAATACTCAAAGACGTTTTCCTGAGTTGATAGCCTTATTTGAGTTCTCAAAGCTTATTCTGAAAGCTTTTCTCAATCGTCTCAGATAATTTCTTCATGTTGATTCTTCTTTCCTTACTTTTTTGTTTTTCCTCTGATAATTCCTTCTTCTCTTAGCTGTCATGTTGTTGTTGTTGTTTGCTGTCGAGTCGGCCCTGACTCATAGCGACCCCTCCTTGGGTTTCCGAGGCAGTATCACTATGGTAGGAATGCCCAACCTTCCTTCCGAGGAGTGGCTGGTGGGTTTGAATCGCCAGCCTTCTGGTGAGCAGTCAAGTGCCTTAGGCACTATGCTACCTTAGCTGTCATAGTATCAGCATATTGTTCTTCATATTGTGTTTTTTTTGTAATTTCCCCTCTGCTATGTTGTTAGAGTTTAAAATTAACCATTTTAGACTCTGCTCGCTCTCTCTTTTTTTTTCAGCTCTGAGACCTTAAATCAACATCTTAAAGCCTCCCTCTGTTTAAACAAAAGGACTGGATTAAATAATTTCTGAATTCCAACAGTCAGTCGTAGCAGCTCTTTAACTACTGCCATCTTTTTTTTTTTTTTTT